ACAGTCTCCTTTGCCAAGAAATAATGGGACTTCCTTAATTATCAGCTCTTATCTTCTGGTTTAGCAAACTTTTGTTGCTTTATGTGCAGTTGCTTCTTTTATGCTTTGACATTAATGAATTGGAATTGAAATTATGTACTGAGGAAAACAAAGTCATCTGTACAAATAATAAAATGGTTTACTTGTGTGTGTCAAAAAGAAGGAGATCAAGTATTGTGCACAAGGAGTTTGGAAACTGTGCTTTCACAAAAACATCTTAATAGATATTAATAACTGTCTCCAAATCACAGAAGTTGTTTAAGGGTTGGTGTTTTGAGAAATCTGTCTGATAAGAGCTAGGAAAGTCTGGCTGGTGTTGGAGGCTCTTTGTGTAAGGTTGCAAGTTCTGCCACATCAGAGGACCTCATCTGCTGCCATTTTTAACAGTGAATCTTGTGGGGAGGGAGGAGAGAAAGGAATTATTAGGCATCAGGCACATAAGTTGCCCTCACCATTTCAGAGAGAGAAGGAAACTAGCTGGATAGGAGAAAGTCAGAGACATAAATGATGCTGGGTTAAAAGGAGCAGCTAAATCTAGGATTCCTGAATTTCTTAGAAAACTCTGTCTGAGCCCAAGCAATATTCTGGAGAGATGAGGCAGAGACATAGGAGCCCAGGTCCCAAAGAAACCAACCTGAGTCATCAAGGTTGACTGGTAGCTGCAGGGATGAATATGTCCAGACGTCCTTCCATTACCCAGTGAGGCTTTAATGTGCTGTGGTTCTATTAATTTGGCCAGATACTCTTCTGATAGCCAGAGGGAAGAGTGATTTAGGGTTGGAGCCTCTGCAAAGTCTACTAGGTTATTTGCACCCCTCCCAGGAAAGCCAGTGCTGATCCTCAGGCAGCTGCGCCAGAGAGTCTCATTTCCAGGAAGGAGCTGCAGACAGAAAAAATTCCTGGCCTCCTGTGCTCTGGAAATGTGCTGGAGGTGAAGTCTGCAATTTGTGTTTGACTTGAACCTGAGCCCAAGGCCCACATCTCATCTTGGAGGCAGCACTCACTGGCCTGTATCTGAGACCAGTGGCTTCCAGTGACTTCTGCCTCTCTGCTAAACTGGTGTTCCTTTGTTAGGGCCTCTCCTGGGGGGGGACTGCCAAGGTCCACTGTAAAGGCAAATGTGTGTGAACAACCTTCCCCATGGAGCAGAGTGGAGGAGAAGCTTTCGTGCAGCCTGTTTGTGGTCAAGCAAGGAGCCCAAGCTTGTGTAGTTGGACAGGCTTTTCTCAAACCCTGCAAACCCCAGAGGCTTAGGCTGCCCAAGACAGGAAGGACTATAGGAACCAGGAATTAACTGTGGGGATGGTCAGTTAATTAGGACCAAATGGCCAAGAAAGACAGCACAAAAGACTACAGTATGCTCATAACTCAAAATCCCATGGCTCAGCACACATCATCTGTTACAAATCCAGGAGAGAGAGCATGGCTATAGCTGTTTACACTGGTTATATGCCAACCATCCCCAGATTAACACTGCCCGGACTTTCATACTTCTTGGGGCAGTGCCCAGCTGTATGTGCTGGGTGCAGTGTGGAATCACAGCAATGCCTTTTTTGAGAATTGTCTAAGAGCTCAGTAAGTTGGAGTTTTGGCCAGTGAAGTTTCCACTGCATTATGTCAATGGCAGCTCACAGAGACCAGCTCTATCTGGTTCATTTTTAGTCAGGAGTCCATTCATGTGCTGGTGTTCCCTTGACACAACTGTTTCCTGTAAAGCTGCAAGTTGTCATTTAGTTTGGCATTTCTGCTTTTGTTTTGCTGAGTACTCTGTTAGATCAATTATACAACTGTTAGGTTTTTCCCAAAGTGCACAGAGGATGAGAGCTGGCTTCTCTTTGCCCAGCAGGTGCTTCTAAGGAGGCAGCTGATGTGCTCTGGGCTTCCCTGCCTGGGCCAAGAGCCTGGAGTGATACTGTGAACAATTTCATCAATGAGTGCATTGACAATTCCTGATACTCCTTGCATGCCCCAGATAACCTGCCACGCTGTCACACTGCTTCCTTTGGGTCCTTTTCTGTTCTTTGAATCCTTTACAGCAGCCACTGCTGCTATCTGCACTTGGCCTCAAGTGAGTGGCCTCAGCAGCATAGCATGGACTCTTAGAGGCATTCACATCCACTTGGTGCCTTCCTTCTCCAGAGCAGTGTCTTCTCTGTGGCAATTTGCACTGCAGGCAATTTGCACTGCAGGAAGGCCCAGGTGGTGAAGACAAGGTGTTCTTGTCGTAGCACCCAGAGGTGGTCAGGAGGGGATCCATGCTTCTGCCCAGGAGTGCAGTGAGGAGCACACTTGCACTGATAAGTGCTGACCAGGCCAGCAAAGGGAAGATCGTGCCCCGATTGCACTGTTTACTGCAATGCAGGATAGAGACACTCAACAAGTTTGGTAATAAAAACAACTGGGAAAAGCCTGCTTCTCTGCCAGGAGACATATTGTGGTGTCCGAGCTGGCTCTCTCCAACCACTGCGTGCAAACTGGGATGATTTGGAGAATTAGGGTATGCTCAAGGGATAGACCATGACCACATCTTGCAAGCACAGCAAAAGGTGTACCCTTAGCAAAGACCATTTTCTGCAGCACTCAAGTCTTTGCTCCAAAACTTTTATTCCTTTTTTTTTTTTTTTTTTTAAGTAGAGGGAAAGGAACCTATGTTTTTCCCAAGCATCATTCTTGGAAATGACCTTCTGAAATTTTCTTGAAACATATCAGCTTGGAGCAGATATTTCCTGCTTCCAGGAAAGCTTTTCTAGAGATCTGCCTTCTGTAAATGTTTATACAAACAATTAAAGACTGCCAAAGTTATAAGTGGCAAAGATAGAGGAGCTTAGGATGGAAAACATTGAAACCTTCATAATAGCATTGCCAACTGCATTTAATAAATAGATGCATTTGATATGGATTTTGTATAATAAATGCTGGCTTTAACATTAAACTTTTGTACCTTTTTTTTTTTTTTTTTTTTTTTTGCTGCACAGCAGGCAAAAATGTAGCAGAGCTTGACACAGTGTTGAGTATTTTCTGGCAAATTATGCATTTAAAAAATTATTCTTAAGGTTGTTTGATCAGTTGCAGGTTGCAATGGACTGATATTGATGTTCCTTTCCTATGACACTTCATGTAAGGCAAGTGACTACTTGTTTTGACAGGCTGTAAAAGATACATAATTATAAGGGGGAAGAGCTAGTTCATTCCTGTGACACTTATGGATTTACATACTTCTGTGCATTGGACATAAAACACATAAACTCGTCTGTGGTTTTGTGGGGTTTTACTTTAAATGCTCAGGAAGAAGCTCTTATCATGTTTTATCTCAGGGAAAGAAGATCTAGAGGATTAAATGATACAATTAAAGATTTATTTTAAAACAAGCACAAAGTTCAATGCTGAACGGTCTTGTTTAAGCATGATTCACAATAGTGCCATGTTGAGACACCAAGAATTTTAATGGAGCTGTGACTTTACATTAAGTGTTTGATAAGATAATTCTCAGTAGAGGGAAGTGGATGGCAATTCCCATTGTCGCCTGAACTGGTCTGTCTGAGGCGAAGTGCGATTGTGGCAGTGGGTGACACTGCTCCTGTCCCAGCATCTGGACACCAGCTCCTACTGAAAGACCCCAGCAGACACTTTACCCATCCATAAGAGTGTCTGGAAACCTGAATGCCATGGTACTTTGTCACCATTTAATTATTATCTGAATTTAGGCCTGTGAAGGGCCTTTCCCACAGGCTATGTCAACAAAGATCTTTATTATAAAGCTCTACTTTTTTTGTGGTGTTTGGAGGGCAACATTTACCAGACTTAAGAACCTGTGGTTTGTCAGGTACCTTTGAGTCTATATGTATGAAACACTATTCCTCTAATACACTACTCATACAATGTGTTTTCTTTATGGGTCACATAAGAATTTCAGGGAGTTTATTCTGGAAATTTGCATGAAGTTGGATTTTTTTTCCATGAGTAGTCAACAACAGTAAGCTAAGTATAGATGGAAAATACTGCAGACCAGTGTTTCTGATGGTGAGCAAACATATGAATATATAATTGCTTATACAAATTAAAAATACAACTTTTTTATGTTGCCAAGTTGATTCCAGTCTCAGGTAATGGACTAAAGGTGCAAGTTCAGATCATTGGTTGGAGCTGTAATGTCTTTAGCAAATGAGGGAAGCTGAATACCCTTTGCCTGCATAACCTTTGCCTTCACTGGTTTTGCCTTATTCACATTTGGAAGTGCACATCATCCTCTAGTGTGTTTAAATAGCAGCAGGATGGAAGTAATGACTGTGCTTTCAAGGGCAGAATGCTCCTGAGTTCCATGGGAACTGGATGCTAAATTATACCAAACAGTCATAGAGCACACATGACTCAGACCCGAATTGCACATCTGAAATGTTGCTGTAACGAAAAGCATCACTTAATTTTTTTTATTTATAGCACAGGCAAACTTATTTTATATCTTTTTAAAAATGTGTTTTGCTTTCCATATTTTGTGTGGTTAATACTCCTGTGTGTGTGTGTATATATATGTGACACCAAAGAATGCATGCAGACTCTACCATTCATATTAATATGTATTTATGTGCTGGACATTATATGTACATATACTCTATATTATTTACTAACAACCACTTTATTTGAGACATCAGAAAAAATGTGGGATTTCACTGTGTCTGAGAGCACTGATTACATTTACAATGGTGAACAGATTAACCATTTAGTTGCAGGTATCAAGGTTGTCACTCAAACTGGCAGCACCTCAGAATAGCTAAAGCTTATCAAAAATTGTCTGGATTGGAAATGACAGCCATACATGCATGAATGCGTCTGTATGGCTGGAAGACTGTTGAAGTGTGAAGTGAAGAAGTTCACTGCAGTTTATTTTTTTATCATAATTACTGTATTTCATGGAGAAACATTGACTTGCCACAGAATAAATACAAGGGGAAACTGAAAGAAACTTCATTCTCTTATCATCTTATTTCCCAAAGGTTACCACATTTGAACAAAGCGTATTTATTTCATTCCTGATGCATTTATGTAGCCATTTACTGTACTCTGTATAAGTGAAGCAGAATAATTTTTTGCGAGACTAATTAAAAGTTGCATGGTAGAAAATGTTTTTGTGATCACACCACCGGAACGAAATTGAGCTGTCTTTACTGACGTGTGCTCCATTTACTGGGTTTTTTAAAGCATATTTCCCACACTTCCAGCAGATCATTATTTTTTAAAAGGAAAAACATAGCAAAGCCTTTCCTCATAAGTAAATTAATATCCTTAATGAACATATTTAGAAAAATAAAGTAGCAGTTTATCTCATCTTTTTTTGAATATTGTGTGGCTTTATTCTGTTTTCCGGCTCTATAACATCTTACAAAACTTCCATGTCAAATCAAGAACGACTAAATTACCTCTAAGTCAAGAGGATTGATGTGTAAAGTTTATTTGTTTCCAGCCTGGTGGTGCTGCAGTCTCTTTCAGTCCCAGCATGAAGTACAAACCAGGCAATTTTACCATGTTCTACATGTTGGAGCTCATGTGGAATTGGCCTTTAGTAAGTGGAAAAGATCAGTCATTTAGTTATATGATTTCATCATATACTGTTAACAGAGTTGAGGATTCCACTGAGCAAGTCTGGAGTTTTACCATGACAAGTGGACAAACCCAAGCTTTTATTAAAAAAAAAAAAAGTTTAAATCCCCCAAGTTGGTTCAAACCAGTGTTAATTCTTCCCAAACACTGCCATAGGTGGGGAGGGGATGTGACCTAGATTTGTGGCTGATGCTTTTGAGGAAAAAATGGTCTGCTGAAGAAAGGAGAGGATCCAATTTTAACTGGTGTATCACTGCAAAGTACCCATATGGCTTCCTCACGGAATTTGGGAAATCTTCTTCTTCAGGTGTTATGTGCCAGATTAAATTGGAAGCATTAATACTCTCTGTGTACACTCAAATAAAACTGCTGTATCTGAACGAGAGAGTGGATAAAGTGTTGATAGTAGCAGAAGTTCACGTCATGCTCGAACAGGCTAAAACACATGACACCTTTGATGCACTTTATCATTCTAGGTGCGGGGTCAGGGATCAGTCTTACCCCTACTACCGGTCCAGCAAGCGGCTTTTAGCAAGTTGTGAAACTCCCATTTGCAGAGCAGGGGCATTTTGCATTCTTCTGGCCCTTGAGGTTATGATGGCACCCAGAAGACTTGCACATGATCAAGTCTCTGCTTCAGGGCAAAAAGTTATAAAAGGGTGCCCTGCAGAGATAGCAAACCATGGGTAGGGGAAAAGAAGCATGATTTAAAAGCTGGAGAATGAAGGTAAGAAAGATAACCCTTACTGCTCTACCTGCCATTAAGTGAAAAAGACATTGCTCAGTTATGTTAGTTTTTGTTGCAAATCTGAGACTGCCTGAAGCAGAAACCCATACATTCTTTTCACTTCCCGGTGGCTGACCACATGAGCAAAGACGAAATGCCTCCCTTTCCAACTGTGTGCAAATGGCTCTGAGATATGGACAGATATGGGATTGTCAACTCCAATTAGTTGAAGGAGTGACCTACTGTACTTCTCTTCTATAGGTATTACAAAAGCCGTTCCGCCCATGAATTAGACATCGGTGAGAGGCTGAATTTAAGCCCACTATTGTATGGGAATGTCCACTCCGCTTTGCCACACTAAAGACATTCAGGCAGGCAGAACACCCTCCGCTGACTCATTAGGGCATACATTAGAGGCAAGCTCGCTGCGCTCGCCATGAACCCACAGTGCTCTCTTGAATGGTAGCCCTTGGTGGACGCTTGCAGGGCAGGCCGGTTCCCACAGCACCCCGCTGATCCCCTGTGAACAGATTCGCAGCTCCCCGCTGGCTGCAGAAATGGATTGCTTGCCCCATCCTCACCCGCCACTGACAGCCCTCATAATAATAACCTGCCCGGGAGGCGAGGCACGGGGACGGGTTTCTGACAACTCATTAGCCTGAGATACGGTTGGTTCCTGCCAGGGACCGTCACCACCGCTGCAGAGGGAGCAGGACGATGCTGGGCAACACCAGTCGGGCCCTTTCGAGGCCATCCTTCCCCAAAAAACATTACTTTCATCCTCAGAAAGGAATGCCTGCAGGAGGTGACACCTTGGAGATCCTCGATGAGGGAGAAACCAGAAAAATTGGGATGCCAGAAGTGCTGAGGAGAAAAATGAGGCCAGCAGGGGGTCGTATGATACCACAGTGAAACTACAGCTGCTCCGAGGGATGGGAGGCAGCCCTGGGCTCGGGCGTGCACACATCGGCAGCAGTTCAGCTCTGAGGTCCTGGGTCTGATTTCTCAAGTGCTGTCTCTCTTCCTCTGTTGGCCTCCTCGTGACATCTTGATCAAGGCATCAACCTGGGAAAAGAAATCAAGAAAAGAACTGAGAATACTATTACTTGTTGTTTTTCACTGTCCTCTGCAGTTTGCTTTTTAAAATCCAGGTGCAATGAATTGTCCTGTGACTTTTGTTCCTGTCAGGAACTACACGTGAAATGCTGTCCATTCCCCCATGTCACTGGAATGGTAGACCAGAACCTCTGAGTCTGGCAGAAATGCTCTGGATGTTACTCGTCTGTGTGTGAAAATCAGCAACTGGAAGTTCCTGAGCCTGGTTTGGCAGGAGGGGTGTGGAGGCCTGTCCATGATGAGCTGTTCTTTTCTGGCAGTCACGGAATGCTATTACCTGACCTCCAGCTTGGAGAGTGATGCTTACAAAGAGATCTTCAATCAAAGCCCCCAACAAAAGCAGCATCAAGTAGATTGGTTGCTACAGGCAACAGATGCCCTTGCTTCTAATGAGACAGGAGCAAGGCTTGGGGCACCTTATTTCACCTTTGCTGCATATATCTTTGCATATCTTTCCTATGCAAACTGAAGTCCTGAACTGTGTGTCCCCTAAGTGATGTTTTCAGGTTTAATCAATGACTCAAAAAGAGCAAAACCATTTATTTGAAATGTATTTGACTGGCTGCATACTGGTAGACAATGAAAATTTAATGAGATTTTTTTCAAATTTTAATACAGAAACATTAAATAGTTTCATTAAGAGAAACAATTTTCAGCATTACTGCAGAGAAATGCCACCTATCAAGACTGGAAACAGACACTCTAAAGCAAATGCCAGCAAGACCTAATTGTGATAGCAAAGAAAGAAAAAACAACTCAGACCATACATAAGTAAATAAATAAAAAGAATCATCACAGTGTGCTGTTCCCATAGCTCAGCTGCTTTAGAAATAAGAAAGAAGACTTTCTGAACCACAGCTCTCTAAGTACTCAAGTGTTGTGGTCAGGAAAAGCTCACTGCTATTGCTAAAGTATTGAGAAGTATGCAAAATCACAAAGAAGCAACTTCTGTTTCAGAAGGGAGAAAATGTCCATGGTCTAAAACTGTGTTATTATATTGTTGCTATCTTCTAAGAAGCTTGTCTTGCAGGCAGAACTTTAACTATGGAGACACAGAAAATTTCCAGGAACACTGGCAATGTTCCAGTCCCACTAATAACCCCCCTTTAGTCATGAGAAGCAGTAACACATAGTAAATCATGCTGAGGACCAACAAAAGGTTTCTAACAGCTTTGTTAATGAGCTGGAGGTAAAAGCATGTCATTGACATTAGCAGAAAATGTTAAATTCGGATCTGATGCAGTCAGAAAAATTGTTCCAACACAAATGTGAAGATTAAAATTATCTGGCCAGAATTCACAGTAAATCAGTCAATTTCAGGAATTACAGCTGTTGAAAAGAAGGTCAAATATATTGCTCTAGGTTTCAGATGCAGTCTAATCCATGTGGTCTGTCTAGAGATCCAGAGGAACTTATCTCTTGTGAAAATAGAGGCCCAGCAGATATAAGTGACGGTGACATCATCTGCTGGCAAGTGACAGCTGGTACTGTCCCAGTGGCCTCAAACAGAGTTTTGATGAGAAAAGGTGCAAAGAGAGAGAAATAAACAAAATTAATCAAAATTAAAAGGCTGTCTGACATGGTCTAAGGCTGCAATAAGATACTGCTAAGTAAAAAAGGCACATGTTTGTTCCCAAGTTGTCTTGGGAATTTTGTGAAAAAATCCCTAAATGCCAAATTTCATGGGAGACTAAAACAGAAGATTAATTAAATGGGTATGGGTGTAGATGTGTTCTTTGTCAAAGACAAGGAGAATAGGAGTCTGCTGTTGGGATAAACTACAGAAGTGTCATGTCCTTCCCAAAAGGAAAGTTCTGTTGCTGAGGGAGAAACTCTGACTTTCTGAAGAAGGAGTTATGAGTGGTGGTGTAGAGAGTTCAGCTGGGGTTTTGTATACAGCAAAACAGCCCTGGGAGGGAGGCAGCCACATATGGCTCTTCCTCTGGGGGATTCACCAGTGACACCAGTGCCCAGTTTTTTGGACCAGATTCATATTCCTGAATTGCTTTAAGCACGCAGTACATAACAGGGACCAAGGTTTATTATCTATTTTAAGGAACCCTGGCCTACCAAACTAATATTAAAGAAGCTTTCCTCAACCTCAAAAAATTTGTTTATGGAAAAAACCAAAACCAAACAAACAAACAACAACAACAAAAACAAAAAAACCCCACCCCCCAAAAAAAAAAACCCAAAAAAGAAAACCCAAAAATTTACATGACTGTGAAAATACACATTCTATTTTTTTTTTCCCAAGTTCATTTTCAGCACTGTATTTGAATTGGACTCAGCAAGACTAAGGAAAAAGGAAAGATAAATCTGGACTGGGCCAAAAGAGACATAGTCCAAAGGAGCAAAGATTTCAGTGTTGCATCTCAGAGCCACTAACAGAGCTGTGTTGGTCATAGCCCCCAGTGACCCATGTCTTAAAATCTCAAATAAAGTATCTGCACCAAATATTCTCCCAAGTGAGGTCCAGACCACAGGTTTGCAAGTGAGGTGAAGTCTGATGTTTGAAGATAAAAGTGACTGGTAAAATGCAGGAGTCTGGAAGGAGGTGAGTGAGGAGGAATTCAGAGAGGAGTGGAGAAACCTTAGAGGAGACTGATGCTTAAGGGCCACCACCTCTGCAAATAGAAGAAACAGCTGCTTGTTTGATATTCCTTGGGGCAAAGGAAGGAGCTGATGATACTTTTCCTAGTGAGTGAAGAGCTCCAGTTTCTGTGTGTATGTTCATTTGGAAATATTCAGGACAAGTGAAAAATGGTTTCAGAAGATGAGTTTTTCCACTTTATGATATGGAGCCCATATATAAAGTATTTCATAATGTTTGGAACACCTTCACAGCAAGCTATCTTGATATGTTCCACTGAAACTACTTTTCAATGGGAAAACAAATACATAAAGAAGAATAAAGGATAATTTTCAAAGTCTCCAGAAGATGTTTTTTGGCTTTAGTACACTTCCTTCCAAGCCCACTAAATACACTTTCCAAAAGTCAAAGCACCTCTTTTGCTGCAGCAGGCTAAATGAGTCCAGAAAGCAGCCCAGTCCTGAGTTCTCAGTGCCAATTCTGACCCCTCTTATAATATTTTAGATACCTCAGATATTTCTTGATCAAGCTCTCTGAAGGCAAGGACTGTTAAAGCACATCTGTAAACTGAAGCATGGAGAATTCTTTACATGTGTAAAATTCCTTCTCATTATATAGAGAGAAACAGTTTACAGACTGCTCTAAGTACAAGGCAAATAATTCACCAGAACAACACGAGCCTCTTAGCCTTGATGATCTTGTTAGGCTACAAATGTCTGAATGGCTTGCCTGGTTTACTTGAAAGTGACTAAATTAAATGCTGCCTTTTGTTCATTAGCTGAGAGATTTTTTTTCCTAAGCACTTTACTCAAATTCTGAAACATCTACACATAAATGAGAAAAAGAAAAGAGGGCAAAATAGCACATAAAGGGGATTTAATTCTCTCTTAAACATAAATGCAAATTAAGGAATTCTAGCTAGCCTGAGAGATCCCTGCTCAGGGATGCTGGGTGTTGGATGGGAACAATATAAACATATATTTCTCAGAGCATTCATGTTACCAAGAGCTCCAAAACTGGAGTTCATCCATGGTCATATTCACAAGACATAACAAATTATTGTTTAAGGATTACATTGGGAAATGTTACAAGATTAGATCAGAGTCTGCATTTCAGTGTTCTGGATGAATTTACACACATGAAGACGTTAGTCTGGAAAATTACCGTGCTCCCTAGAGCTTGAATTCCCCTCATGGAGCTATACTTCAGATATATGAAGCATGCTGAGTTGCATACATCCATCAGCGCATGGGTTTCAGTGCCATCTGACATATTTTCAAACATATCAAGCTCCATGTATTCTTTGTGCACTCCTGCTGAGACTGCAAATCCCCAGATAAATGCCTGCACCACAACACTGAGGGGAAGGCTTTCATATTTTATTTCCTTCAGTGCTCACTGTGTTAGCCCTGTACCCTGGTTGGAGGCAGTGGTTGCCTGGTCCGTGATCGCCGCAGTTCAGCAATAGAAGGAACTCCCTGGATCCAGGGAACAATCTAAGTGCTGTGTTGTGATCATAAGGTGAACCTTACAAGGCTCTTTTCCTGGACAGTTTCTTTGTTTTCCACTGGAAGTTTTGCTCAGATGGCTTTTGCTCCCCATAATGGCCACGGATGTCCCAATATCCTTCTCAGCAGGGGGGCTGGATCATGATGTGCCTTCACAGGCTGCTCCATAGCACTGTCCACTCCAGTGCAGTCAGGGCAGATGTGCAGCGCCATCCCATGGGATGTGTTTCCTGGTGGGACAGCCGGGCCCATGTGTGCTCGTGGGGCTGTAGGCAGACTCCCCTCCCCGCTGCTACAGAGTGCCACTGCTTTCCCGGGCACATGGTCCCACCTGCGAGTGCTGACGCCCATCACAGGACCCCAGGCATACCAAGTTCTTGCATGCTCAGAGACAGATGTTGAAAGGTGTGTTTTTAGAGTTGCTAGCCATTTTTGTCTGAAGCATGCTCTACTGCATGCTTTCTTGCTGTCTCTTATTCCCTCAAACAAGGAAGAAGCCAAGGTCTTGGGAGCCAAGTCTAATCCTGTTTACATGATGCTTTTAACTCCTGTATTACTAGTTCAAAGCATGTGTCCAAATTTAGAAGCAAGACTAATACAACCTCAGGCTTAGCACTCATCAGATCTCATTAATTAAGCATGTTCAGGCCTGGTCAGTACCAGATGGAAAGTTGTCAAAAAATTATATGCCTTATCTAGGAGTGGTGTCAGAGGCTGCAGGTGATGCACTTCTTTCAGTAATCAGCTACTGTCCCAGCCACACTTTGCTTGTCAGTCTGGAACATCTGGAGCAAATTTTGATTTTATTACAGGCATAGCATTTCACACCCATTTTTTTCCATGAGGAG